CGGGCGGCCCAGGTGCGCGGGGGGCGGCAGTGCTGGGGGCCTGAGCAGCCATAGGCCGCGCCTGGGCCGGGGGGGCCCGGCCAAGCGTTGACCTCCGGCACCCGGTCCTCATGGCCAAGCTGGGAACAAGTCTGGCTGCTCTTGCTGCACCAGGAAACAGAGCAAGAGAAACAGATCTTTTTATTTCTTTCTTCATTTTCTTTCTTAAAAGAAAAAAATAAATAAAAGAAAAAGAAGTAAGACCTTGCTTGGATGTTTTACATATCTAGCTCCGGCCCGGCCAAGCGTTGACCTCCGGCACCCGGTCCTCATGGCCAAGCTGGGAACAAGTCTGGCTGCTCTTGCTGCACCAGGAAACAGAGCAAGAGAAACAGATCTTTTTATTTCTTTCTTCATTTTCTTTCTTAAAAGAAAAAAATAAATAAAAGAAAAAGAAGTAAGACCTTGCTTGGATGTTTTACATATCTAGCTCCAGTCCATGCAGCCAAAGTGGCACTCCACCATCCGCACAAGCCCAAGAGGGTAGATGCCTTACACCAGCTCTTGGAGCAGGACACCTTGGGCTCCCTGTCTCCTGATGAACACCCAGTTGCTCCTCTGGTTGGTAGGTCAGCACAAAAGCCACCATGACCCACTGGGACCATGTGCCGATGCTCAGGCACCGCTCAAAAGCCAGGGTATGCATGGTGTGGAATTGCTGTTGCGGTAGACATACTTGGACTTACTGTCGTATTGATGATATGGTATAGGGTCCTAAATGCGAAAACTGGAGGATCTGGTGGGTTTCACATAGATAAAGTTTTTACTTTGTGGCAATCCTTCAAAGTCTCTAACAAAGCTCATGGTTACAAGATGACATTGCTCTATTAGGACTTTATATTGCTGAGTGGGACATGGACCTTCTCTGAAGGGAAAAGCACTTACACTCTCCAAAGTGGTGTTAAGTGCTCAGAAGCACATGATGATTTGAGTAGTGCCATTGACCTTTTACCTCGCAGTTTTGCCATAGTTGTCACACAAGGTGGTAGTTGTAAGAATACCGTGTATCAACGATGTTGCTGTTGTGACTCCCTTGGCGCCACCAGAAGTTCAGTGAGAAACAACCTTGGCCAGAAAAAGTTAGTGATACAGTTGCATGTCAGGAACTTCTGAGATGTGTAGAGGATCTTTGCGTGGTCTTGTCCAAGTTCTTAGATTTTCTTAGTTATGGAAAGAAATAAAGCTAGTACTTCTTGGGTTAAAGGTAGCCATGTTATTTCAGCTCCTACTCATTGTCTTAAATTTCTGATCTTTTAAGATCTTTGAGTTATTACAAGACAATATTTGGCAACTGACTGTGGGCTTTATGGCATATAAGTGATGTTGCTCAAGCAGTAACATGGCAGGAAGATGTTCTGTGAGGCAGCAGACTTCTGACCAGGAACTCTGCTGCAGTCAGTTTTCGGCCCAGTCATTTTGCAGGCATTTGTAGGGATGAGTGTGAAGCCATTATTGGGTACATGGTGAATGGCATCACCTTCTTTCTTTGTTATTTTGTTTGCATTTATCCTTGCTTATCATTGTGTAATGTGGAAGAAGGTATCCACCAGCACAGGTAAGTGGAAATATGGCTATTCATTTCTCATTTGGGATGTTTGGAGTGAATGTGACCTTCTCATATGTGGTGTGCTTTACAAAATTTTCATCTGCCTCTCAGACATGTGGAAAAATTATGTACAGGGTTCAAATGATGAATCCAGTTACATTCCACACCTCGCTATGAAGTCCTTTTGACAGAGGTCAAATAAATGTCTAGAAAGCTGAAGCATTTTTATGCCTAATAGGTAGCAAGTTTGCAGATGGCAGCTTTATTTAAACAACTCAACTTCGCTTCTTCCCATCCCAGAAACCCAACCTCTCCAAAGGAACTCATTAGAAAGGCGCTCGTACAGGAGGTGATGTCCAATACCAGTTAGACCACACATGAGATTAAGCTGTTTGCACCAACGCTTTACGCTTTCAGAGTTGACACCTCATTTCTAGCTCAGATACACCATTGTTTTCTGTCCTTCTTTTGAGCAACTGAAAAATTACAAGGATGGCAGGATGACCAATAAATGGTTTCAAGATTTTATCTTGAAATATGTTATTCTCCAGGATAAGTTTATGGAGTATTTCAAAGCTTGATTCCTCTTCAACTCTGTTAGCAACATCTGTGTCCTTCAAGGTTTCTTACTGAACTCCAGCAACGAGTCAATACTAATTTCCTCTGCAATCTAGAGTATTTAATGCTGGCTGCATAATTATTTTTATTATAGAAGGTCGTGGTCCAGGAGCCA